TTAGATTAAAACTTAAATAATTACTTATTTTTCTTTTTTATAATGTATAGAATTCGCTTTCTTCATCACTAAAGAAGGATGGCGGTCAAGACCTGACTTTTTAATAACGTGGGAGGGAACACCGACTTCTTTTGGTATTTATTATTTTACTATAATTGATGGCGGAATTAATTTACGAATTTCTGCGTTGCTACAATATATTGTCACGAAAATGTATTGCTGCAATACAAATTGCGCCCAAATGCATACCATAATTAGTTCTACTATAAGTTGAAATGTCATAAAGCCGCAACATAGTAATTCTGCCTTCAACTATAGAGTACACTATTTAAGCGTATTTAACATCTGTAATTGATTACTAATTTTGAAATTAAATTTCTGCAGCTTATCGTTATCCTTACATCTTTGCTTTCGAATCCTCCTTCATAGAAATACGACATATTGAAACTGGTCTTTTGGAGCAAGTTATTGAGGGAAATAATGTGCGAAACCTATTTTCTGACTCACGTGGGATTTTGGTCTTAACGAATGATATTGACACCGATAGCTCTGTGATATTTTCATTAAATATTGTAGGAGGAAAAAGAATTTCTCAAACTTTAGAGGATACAAACAACGATGAAATATGATTATAGTAAATTAAATTTTAAGAAGTCCAGACAATATTAATTGTTGCATTAAGTGATATGAACTTATTATAATTTTTTATAGATATGTGGATATTAATTTTGTTTTTACATTTTCATTTTGGTTTTTTTTCAATTATATAGATTCGTAATCTTGTTCTTTTGTTCATTTGATTTATATTTATCAGAGTAGATTTACTCCCTGTATCATATATGTAGCACATTGTCATAATTGATTTGGTACAAAAAAAAAAAAATAAAAAATATGCATGCGCTGAAACTATTTAAGCGGCTGGCTGTCTCAGAAGATGAACAAATTTAGTGGACGAGTTACAAAAAAATCCTATGTTTTACAAATCTTAATATAGAAACTATATAAGCTTCTAACCCCTTATAAATTCTCGAGTTAAAATCCACGCGCATTATTGCAGAAAAGTTTTGATCATGCACAGGTTTCTATTAAAGTAGATATCACGCGCGAAAAAAAATTTATTATTATGATGTCACGCGCATATTCATACTTTTTGTGATATGCGCGAAATGAATTGTAAGAAATTTTGAATGCTTCATCTTTTATTATCATATGCTTAAGTTTAAAAAAAATATATATATTTCAATAAAAACAAATAATATTATCGTGATTCGTACATGAATTAGCAGAATTAGGCTGTTAATGAAGTATCCAGAGTGATATGATGTATACTCTGTCAAAGTAAATATGGGTGACGCCAAGGGAAAACCAGTCTTCGGGCTTTTAATCGGACTCAATTCCTGAAAATTTGAAAATTTGAATCATTAATTTATCAAGCACGTGTGCAAAGAATTCGGCGAACCAATCGAAAACGACTAAAAGCTTGATTTATTACGTATCACAGGTCTTGCGGTGGTTGATTCCAGTTATTGATTCCGGTCAATAATAAATTGAAGTCAGGTTTTCCTTTGGCGACTCTCATATCAAAAATCCGATTTAACTCTAAGTGCAATTTGCTGGAGCATAGAAAATCCTAATACGTAGAAAAAAATATAATAATTAAAATTTCGCATTAAAAGATGCATTTAAAGAACTTCTTTAATAAGTTAAATTTAATTTTGTTTGATTAAAAATTTTAAAAAGTCTAATGATTGTCATGCTTGAAATATATATAACGATAATTCCGTATTTTAAATATGGTTTTGCTATTCATTTTATCTATAGAAATTTGCATTTACAGTATATATGTTGTACGTTGGAATGGAATGATTGTAAACTTAGAATCTACTTAGGTAAAATGTGTAATCGATTTGTCGTTATTTAGAATAATGGCCCGAATTAAGCTTAATTTAGGCCGAAATTCTTAATTTCACCCCTGCGCGTTATT